TTTTTTGAAAAGTGTGTGTGTGTACTTGTATTGTTGAGTCTAAAACATATAGAAATATTATATATTTGACAACAGTACAAAGGAGATGTGTGATAATAAAACTGTATTGATATTAATTCTTTAATTATTTGGTTGAATTCACCAGTGAAATAACCTTGTCATGAACTTTTCTTTTTGATAACTTTTTTTGATTACTAATTCTATCTTCTTACCTGTTATAGGTCTACTCATATTTACCATTTCTTCTTCTGTCAGTTTTTATATTTTATGTCTTTCTAGGCGTTTGTCTATCTCATCGAAATGATCTAATTTGTTGGCATACGTTGTTCATGATATTCACTTGTAATCCGTTTCATTTTGGTAATGTCATTGGTAATGTTGCCTCTTTTATTCCTGACTCTACTAATTCAAGTCTTTCCTCCTTTTTAAAGTCAGTCTAGTCAAAGATTTGTCCATTTTGTTGAACTTCTAAAGGGCAAACTTTTGGTCTCATTGATTTTTCTCTACTGTTTTCATCTTCATTTTATTTGATTGGGCTCTAATCCTTGTTATATCTTCCTATCTGCTTGCTTTGAGTTTGGTTTGATCTTTTTTTACTTTTAAGGTGGAGGCTTAGGTTATTGATCCAAGATTTTTCTTCTTTATTAATTTAGACATTTACATTTATAATTTCCCTCTAAGCCTGGCTTTAGTTATGTCACTTAAGTTTTGGTATGTTATGTTTTTGTTTTTTTCCCCCGAACTCTTTTCTAATTTGCACGGTTTCTCCTTTGACTCATTAGCCATTTAATAGTGTTGTTTATTTTCCCTGTACTTACGCATATTCTGCCTCCTTATGTTATTGATGTCTAATTTTATTCCATTGTGTTCAGAAAACATGTTTTATATGATTTCAATTTTCTTCTATTTACTGAAGTGTGTTTTATGGGCTACCATATGGTCTATTCTGGATAATGTTCTTTGTGCATTTGTGAAGAATATGTGTTCTGCTGTTGCTGGATGAAGGAGAGTCCTAGAGATGTCTAATAGGCCTACTTGACAGGATTTCCTTTGTGTGTTTGGGGCCCTGTTAGGTGCATTGTATGTTTATAATGGTTACGCCTTCCTCTTGGATGAATGCATTTATCATTGTAAAATACCTTGTTTTGTCTCTAGTAACGTATTTTTGTTTTAAGATCTGTTTTATCTGTTATTATGTGGCCACTCCAGCTCTCTCATGGCTGCTATTATGTGGTGTATATGTTTTCATTCTTTTGTAAACTATTTGTATTTTTGAATCTAAAGTATGTCTTAGATTCAAAAGACATACTTTTGAATCTAAATGTAGTTGGATCATATAGTTAGATCTTGTTTTTTAAAAATCCAGTCTGGCAATCTCTGCCTTTTGGTTGAATTGCTTAATCCATTTTATGATTATATACTTTTTAATATAGTTCAATTTATGTCTGGTATTTTTCCTATTTTTATTTCTTTGGAGATAGAGTCTCACTTTGTGGCCCATGCTGGGTGCCGTGCAGTCTTGGCTTACTGCAGCCTTGACCTCCCAGGCTCAAGTGATCCTCCTGCCTCAGCCCCCAAAGCTGGAACTACAGATGCATGCCACCACACATGGCTAATTTTTGTATTGTTTTGTGGCGATAGGGTTTCACTATGTTGCCCTGGCTGGTCTCAAACTTCTGAGCTCAAGCAATCTTCCCACCTTGGCCTCCTGAAGTGGTAGGAATAGAAGTGTGAGCCACTGCACCTGGCCTTATTTTTGTTTTCTATTTTTGTGGGTACATAGTAGGTCTATCTATTTAGGAGTTACATAAGATATTTTGATGCAGGCATACAATGCATAATAATCACATCAGGGTAAATGGGGTATCCATTACTTCAAACAATCCAATTATACTCCTTGAGTTGTTAAAAATGTAAATTAATTTTGACTATAGTCACCTTATTGTGCTAGCAAATACTAGGCCTTATTTATTCTTTCTCTCTATTTTTCATACCCATTAACTGTGTCTGATATTTTGTGTTCCATATGCCTCATGTATTTTTTCTTTTTTACTGCTTTTTTTCATTGAGTGACTTTCTTCTATTGCAACATGTTAATTATAACTGATTTTTAATCCATGTTTTTGAGATACTTTCTATATTTTGTATCTATATTTTTGAGATGTTTTCTTAATGGTTGCCCCAGTGCTACAATATAAATCTAAATTATCTAAACCTACTTCAGATTTCTGCTCTCTTAATTCCAGTAGGATTTAGAAATATACCTATGAAGTTCTATTCCCTATTCCCTACTCACTATTTGGTGCTATTGTTGCATATATTATGTTTATATATGCTACAAACCTATCAATACATTGTTACAGTTACGATTTTTTAAATAAAGTATGTATTTTAGAGAAGCTGAGAGAACAGAAAAGAGCAAGTATATGCTTACAAAGTTTATTATATTAGTCTTCTTATTTAAATTTCTGTTTCTCTTCCTTCTTCCTGTGGATTCAACTTACTATATGGTGCTATTTCCTTACTATAATACAGCTTTATTATCACCATCTCCTTTGTACTGTTATTGTCAGATATATTATGTTTCTATATGTTATAGGCACAACAATACAAATATGCACATACACGGACACACAGACATGGCAACAAGATGTTATGCAATTGTTTTTAAGTCAGTTAAAAGAATAAGAAAGAATAAATATACACATATACTGTATTTTATATTTGCCTCCATAATTACCTTCAGCAGAGCTGTTTGTTTTCTCTTGTGAATTTGAATTATTATTTTGTGTCATTCATTTGTTTATCTTGGAATGCCTTAATCTCTCTCTTGCTTTTGAAACATAATTTTACTGGATATAATACTTTCAGTTGACAGTTTCTATTTTCAGTACTTTGAACATGGCCAGCTCACTGTCTCCTAGTCTCTGTTGTTTCTGATAGAAGTCAACTAATAATCTTGATGGAATTCCTTTGTATGCAAAGAATTATTTTTCTCTTGCAGCTTTCATAATTTTATCTTTGTCTTTGATCATGTTGACTATTATGTATCTTTGTGTTTATCCCATTTGAAATTTGGTAAGCTTCTTGTATGCATATATTAATTTAAAAGATCATATTTGGGAAGTTTTCAGCTATTATTTCTTCAAATATTTTTTCTGGATCACTCACTGTTTTCTTTCCTTCTGGTACTATCACTAGGCATTTGTTGATGTGCCTAACGTCTCATATTTTTGCCGAGGCTCTGTTTATTTTTCCCTAGCCTCTTTTTCTCTCTGTTGATTTGATTCTTTCTTCTGACAGCTGAAATCTACAGCTGAGCCTCTCTAGTGAATTTTTCATTTTGGTTTCTCTAGTTTCCAATTCTGAAATTTCTATTTTGTTCTTTATTAAATAATTTCTACCTTAGTTGCTATTTTTGATTTTATGTGACATTGTTATCATATCTTCTTTTAATCATTTAAGTACAGTTTCATTTAGTTATTTGAACATATTTATAGTAGTTCCTTTAAAATCCGTATCTACCAAGTCAACTTCTGGATCCCCACTTAAAGGCAGTTTCTGTTGTCTGCTTTTATTCCTCTGTATTGATCACACTTTCTTACATCTTTGAAAATCTTTGTTTTTATTTATTTATTTTTTGAATACCAGGCATTTCAGATAATATATTGTAGCAACTCTGAATACTGATTTCCTATCTAACCCTACCCACCACCCCAGGAAGGGCTTTGCGGTGTTGTTATTTGATTGTTCCTTTGTTTAGCGACTTTGTTGAACTATTTCAGTGAAGTTTCTTTTTCATGCAGTGTGAAACCTTTAATGCTTTTCCTCAAATGGTACAGTCTTGTGCATTCTCATTTCTAGGGATGACAGTGATTTTAGGCTCTCCTTGACTTTCTCTTTTTCTGATATTCCTGAGAGTTTCCGGCTGGTCTGCTTTTGTTCTCTACTGATTGCTAGCTGATCGTTCTACTGTTTTCTTTCTCTTTTTTCTTTTTGAGATGGAGTTTCGCTCTTGTTACCCATGGAGTGCAATGGCGCAATCTTGGCTCACCACAGCCTCCGCCTCCTGGGTTCAGGCAATTCTCCTGCCTCAGCCTCCCGAGTAGCTGGGATTACAGGCACGCGCCACCATGCCCAGCTAATTTTTTGTATTTTTAGTAGAGATGGGGTTTCACCATGTTGACCAGGATGGTCTCAATCTCTTGACCTCGTGAACCACCTGCCTCGGCTTCCCAAAATGCTGGGATTACAGGCTTGAGCCACCATGCCCGGCCCGTTCTACTGTTTTCAACAATGCCTCTGGGCATACATTGCTCTACAGTCTGATCCAATTAAGGTCAGTCTCTCCAGGGATGAGTTTTTGAGGCCCATCTTTGAGGCTTGTTTTACCCCCATGATGGCTTTTTTAGCTGTCTCTCTGTCTTCCCTGGTCCTCTCTGCTAAACTTGCTTATTTATGCTATCCTGGAGATACCAGCTTCCTCTAATTGCTTACCAACAAAATCCTTCTTAATAATGCGAGTGCCTTTCTTCCTGAACTTTCATACCCTCTGCTGAAGATAAAACAAATCTCCTCTGACAGAGATATGGAGTTCAGCTCTCTGTTCTTATGGCTCGTGTTACCCACTGGGCAGAACCTTTGCATCATTGCTTTGGAGCTGGGGTTGGGGATTGTCTTAGTCTATTTGTGCTGCTATAACAGAATACCACAGACCGGGCAATTTAAAATGAACAGAAATTCATTTCACAGTTCTGGAAGCTGGGAAGTCCAAAATCAAGGCACCAGCAGGTTGGGTGTCAGGTGATGATCCAGGTTTTGCTTTCAAGATGGCACATTGATCACTGCATCCTCTAGAGGAGATGAATGCTGTTCCTCACATGCCAGAAGAGTAGAAGAGAGAAAGGAGAGAATCTTCTCCCACAACCCCTTTTTATAAGACATTAATCCACTCATTTGAGCAAAGACCTCATGACTTAAATACCTTGTATAAGGCCCACCTCCCAACACTTTTGCATTGGGGATGAAGTTTCTAACATAAATTCTGGGGACACTGTTAAACCACAGCAGGGCAATGGTCTGCTTCTCTTGGTGGAACATCTCCGCTTTATGAGCAGAGCTCTGGGCATGGGTGTTAATCTGCTTTTTTTTTTTTTTTTTTTTTTTGAGACAGAGTCTTGCTCTGTTGCCCACGCTGGAGTGCAGTGGTGCAATCTTGGCTCATTGCAACCTCTGCCTCCCAGGTTCATGTGATTCTCCTGCCTCACCCTCCTGAGTAGTTGGGATTACAGATGCCCACCTCCATGCCTGGCTAATTTTTGTATTTTTAGTAGAGACAGGGTTTTGCCATGTTGGTCAGGCTGGTCCTGAATTCCTGACCTCAGGTGATCCACCTGCCTCAGTCTCCCAAAGTGCTGGGATTGCAGGTGTGAGCCACAGTGCCCAGTCAGCTTATCTCTTTCACTACAGACTCTTCACTCCTTAAGCGAACTAGAGTAAGGGCGATCTGAACCAAGCATTTCTGACTTGCTGTGCCTAGCTTTCACCCTATAAATGTGGGTTGGGTGGAGGAAGGGAGCCCCAGATCTCTGGGTATTATCCTCCGTGTTTCCAAAACATAGAGCTTTGGGAGAGGCATAAGAACTGCTGGCAATATGCTCCGCCCAGAGGGGGAACTGTACCTCTGGATTGAGAGCTGGGGGAGAAACAGCTCTGTTCCTGGTGGCATCTGCCCAGAGTTGAGCTTTTGTCACACTGAGTTGCAGGGGGAGTGGCGTCTAAGGAGTTGACTCACAGCTAAAATGCCACAGATTCTCACTGTTTTACTGATATTTAGTAGATTTCTTCTAAAGAAATGTTTCTCCATTTGTTTTTAGTATTATTTCTGGAGACTTTGGTTGATTGTTTTGTAAATATCACCCACTGTGGTTGTTTCATTGGGAAGAGGTCATGTGGAGTTTCTCAGTGCTGTTCTGGAGTGCTTCTTGAGTGCTATTGTGTTTATGTGCTGATCTTGTGTCAGGAAATATTGCTCTATTATCTCATTCATTCATTGATTCATTCATTTATTTTCTCATTAATTCAACAAATATTCATGAGTTTGATTGTTTTGAGATTTCTAGGTAAATGCGCTCAAAGAATTGCAACTTTTAAAATAATTCTGGGCCGGTTACGGTGGCTCATGACTGTAATCCCAGCACTTTGGGAGGCGAAGGTGGGCAGATCACTTGAGGCCAGGAGTTCGAGACCAGCATGGCCAACATGGAGAAACCCATCTTTACTAAAAATATAAAAAATTAGCTGGGTATGGTGGTACATGCCTGTAATCCCAGCTACTTGGGAGGCTGAGGCCTAAGAATCCCATGAACCTCGAAGGCAGAGGTTGCAGTGAGCTGAGATCATGCCACTGCACTCCAGTCTGGGCGACAGAGAGAGACCCGTCTCAACAAATAAAAATAAATAAATAAAAAATAATTCTGTCTTCTGGAAGCTGAGATTTTCAGACAATTAAAAAAAGTCTTTAAATAATTGCAAGTTTTCTTACTTTTTTCAATCTTTTTTTTTTTTATTTGAATGAATTAGACAAGGACTTTCAAAGCTTGGCAAAAGTAGTGATTACAGCAAGTATATTTGCTTTGTTTTCTACCTTCCAAAGTGGCTCCATATGTGTGCTTGCTATAGGGTTTTTATAGGTAAGCTTTATCAATTTAGGAATCTCCTTTATATTCCTGTTTTACAAGAGTTTTAAATGAGAATGTATTGACTTATAAAAATGAATTCCATTATCTACTAAGATAATTTGAGTTTTCTGTGTTACTTTATCCTTGTGAATAAGACTTACAGATGTTCTAATGTTGAATCATCCTCTAAAATCTGGATAATGTCTGATTATAATGGCTTATTTTAAAATATATGTTGGATTTTAGTAGTCACTAATTTATTTAGGATTTTCATTTATATTCATCAGTAAAATTGGCCTATAATCCTCTTTCTTTGATTTGCCTCTGTATGGTTTTGCTATCAAAGTTATCTTTTCTTTCATGCAGGTCAGACAGCTTTCCTTCTTTTTCTATTTTCTTTGTGTGTGTGTATGTGGCATAACTTGTTTAATGTAAAGATCAGTTTTTACTGGAAAGTTTGGTAGCAAACCTGTAAAACGTGGACCTGGCTCTGTGTGAGCATGAGGTTTTGAGAGAGAGGTCTTTTCATTACCTTCTAAATTTCATAAGCATTACTGGTATAAATACATTTTCTATTCCTTTGTATTAATTTTTTTGCATTTTGTACTTTTAAAATTATTCATCCATTGCTTCTGGACTTTGGCATTTGTTGGTTTTTACTTGTTCATATTATTCCTTTAAATTATTAAAACATCACTTATATCTGTAGTTATTTCTCCATTTATATTCTCTGTTGTGTTTATTTGAACCTTCTTTTTGTCCTCTGATCATTCTTTCCACAGTTTTATCTTTATAAGCCTTTTCTACAAACCAACTTCTTGTTTTGTTAGTTATCTATAATTTTCCTTGTCCTATGCCTTGTTGACCTTCACCTTTATTATTTTTGTTCTCCTTGTTTTTTTTTAAGGTTTTCAACCATAGTCCATCATTAACCCACAGTCAATGAGATCATCAGACTCTTTCATACATGGACAACGTTTGAGATATAACCCTGTTTGAAGAAAACCCCAGATGTTTTAGAGCACTGAACTGTAAGCATGCTCAGAGATTATTTATTCCATTAAGGGCACATGTTTAATGTGCTCATTGTGAATGCATTGTCCACATTCATTTTCCCCCCATGGAGGTCAAATGCATCCCGGTACTCCCAATGCTGTCGGAGATGGCACTGCAGGTCAGGATTCTTTGCCATCCCTAATTCTTTTTCCTACTTAAAGTGTGAACCACATTGCAATCACCTGGGAATTTTTTTTTTTTAGGAATGCAGAATATTGGGCCCTAGCCCAGGCTTACTGAACCGGAATCTATATTTTAACATCTTTAGCTGAATCATTTATACATTGAAGTTTAAGAAACACGTGGTCTAAGACCTTTACTTTGCAGGTAAGAAAACTAAGAGCCTCAGAAGTAAGGTAATTTACCCAAGACTATGTAGAAGAAGGAGGTTTTCATGGCAAAATTAGGCAGGGGAAGAGAGGGAAAGAAAAAGAAAGGGAGAGTAACAAAGCCAAGAGGCAGATGAATGCAATGGAAAATGAGAAAACTGAGTGAGAAGGGAGATGGGGAGGCAGTCTTCCCTCAGGATGTAGTTCATCTGAGGCCAACTTCTGGGCATGCTGAGTAGCCAGAAGTTGTATTTCCATAATAGAAGCTTTTCTCAATGTCCTTGGTATCAGGCTTGAATGACTGTCAGAAAACACACCCACGTTTCACTAAACCTCAGGTTCTTTTTCTGACTGTGAAAGTAGCAGTAACAAAAGCTAGAAGATGAAAACATCTGTCACATGGCTCTTGAGGTGTCAGGTGTCACAGTCCTAGGGCCAGCTGTCCTTTTGCAGCATGGCTTCCTTGGACCTCCCACCTATCTCCAGGCCTCTGCCCTGGGCTGCAGGTAGTCTGCTGCCTCAAGGATGGAGTCATAAATCTGCAGTGACCCTACCCTGTCTGCTCACAGAGCTCCTTTCCAGGAAGATCAGGAATTATTTATTGAAGCCCATAGAATTCTCTGTAAGGTTTTCCCCCCAGATGCGGGAGATGCATGTTCTATTTCTGTTTGACATCCCATGTCAGAACTGAGCTCTGGAAGAGGAGTAAGTAATTCAGCATTATACACAGAGAGTAAAGTTATGTGGTTATATATCAACATGGGGCACTGGAAGTCCTTCGAAATCAGGAGAGTATAATTTTAGAATGAACGTAATGAAAATGTCAAAGGAGATCCATTTTTCTCTTCTACCTCTAAGATGTGCTAAAAATAATTGAGACAATTTTCCAAGTGGGGATGCATGCCTTATACTAGAGTTACCGCGTGGGGAGGACACTGAGCTGGAAGAAGAGAACTCCAGGTCACCAACTGTGATCTCTGTGGGCTTTCAAGACCTGAAAGTCCAGCTGCTTCTCAAATGCCTTCCCAAGACTGTCCTGCCAACAGCATCTCAAACTCAAAATGTTAGAAACTGAACTCATTATTTTTCCTTCCAAATTTCTTCTTCTTGATTTTATCTTTTTTTCATGCGATGCACCAATGCAAGATCTTCTCAATTTCATATCCACGTTATTAGCATCACTCTGTTAGGCAAGCTCCAAGAAACTGCTATCTTTGACTTCCCCCATTCCGCTACTTCTCCCATCCAAAGAGTGCCTGGTTCCCATGAATTCTTCTTCCAGAGAGGTCCCCAGATCCATCTTCCTAGTCAGCTGCAACTGTTCTAACCCAGGCCATTGTTTTTCACTGTATTATTGTGTATTGTGATGACCTCCAAAGGTTAGTCTTTGTCCACACCATCACCGGTTTATCTTCTGAGAGCATCAACAGAGCCTGTCTCTTGCTCACTTACAGGCCTTCTCTCTCAGGCAGAATCAAGAACTCGTTTAGATACTTGCACATGCATGTTTATAGCAGCACAACTTGCAATTGCAAAAATATGGATCCAACCCAAATGCCCATCAATCAACGAATGGATAAATAAACTGTGGTGTGTAAATTTGAAGGAATACTACTCAGCCATAAAAAGTAATGAATTAATGGCATTTACAGCAGCCTGAATGGAATTGGAGACTGTTATTCAAACCGAAGCAACTCAGGAATGGAAAGCCAGATATTGTATGTTCTCACTCATAAGTGGGAGCTAAGCTATGAGGATACAAAGGCGTAAGAATGACACAATGGACTTTGGGGATTCGTGGGGAAAGGATGGGAAGGAAGGGAGGGATAAAAGACTACAACTACTGCTTGGTGTATTTGTATAGCGTATACTGCTTGGATGATGGGTGCACCGAAATCTCACAAATTACACTAAAGAACTTACTCGTGTAACCAAATACCACCTGCTATGGAAATAAAATAAAATAAAACAAAAGAAGTCACGTAGAAGCATCTCCTGTCTTCTCTGTGAGCTGGCCCCATCCACCTTCTCCATG